GAATTGAAGTTTAAAAAAGTATTAAAATAGGATTTGGAAAGCAGAGGATATTCCCCATAGAGTACTACAGTTTTGTGAAAGGTCAAAATTCAGTGTGTCTTTACTCCACAATATTGCTTACACAGATTTTGTGTAACTAATATATCCAGGCAATATTACTTTCAGTAATTAAACATACATATTTCTGGATTCTTGGAAATCAGAACAGCAAACAATGGCAGGTGTTAAATTTAAGCTGTTTGTCCTCCATACAGGATAAAGAAGAACGGAAAAATTCATACCACTGCTCGTGGGAGAAAATGCTTAAGTGTGTCAGACATATTTCCCTAGAATCAACAGCTCTTTACTAAGTCCAAGCTCACTGACAGATACAGACACTTACCATGATGAAGAGAACAGATTCCATAGCTTCCTTTACATTTTTGCTCTCCAGACTCTTATTCTAAGCTTTGAAAGAAGGAATACGCTTCTAGTCAAAATCACATCATTGAAAAATGCATGTTATCACAAGGATAGCATTTTGTGAGAACGTTTGTATAAAAAGACAAAGATTCTAGTTCTAGTTTCATTTTAAAAGCTTCTGAAAATAGAAAGTAAGAAAGATTGGAGAGCGTGTACTTGCACATGAAAAGAATAAAAGACCTTTTAATAATCCAGACGAAGGAGTAACGAGTATATTCAGTAGCTTTCAAAGAAGGATTCTGATGAGATTTAACTGGACAGCTAAAGAACATCTAACGAAGTTCAAAGTTGACAAATGCAAAGCAATGCAGATGTGATGGTAAAATACCAAAGTTATTTTTCCTAAATTAAGCATGAAAGTTTAATATTGGAAGCTTAAAAGCACTGCAACATCCTGGGCAGCTGATTCTATCCGCTAAATGAGCAGAAATTATTAAAAAAAAAAGAAGACATAACATTGAGAAACAAAATGTGACTTTTATTGTTTGACAAATAATTCTGAAAGTATGAAATTCCATTACAGAAATTAATACTGCAGCTTCATGTAGTCTTTAGCTATGTTATTTGCAAAATTATATCACAGGATTAGAAGAGGACCAAAAAATTCAGAGTGAGGGATTACAAGCCAAGAACTTTGCAGTCAGGACTGACTAGCTCAACTATAGACATCAGCATTATAGACCCTCTAAGCTTATGTACAAGGAAAACAGTGGTCAGTGTAATACCACTGTACTGACTCATCAATTCTTTAACCTCTTCTAATATCATAAGAGTTTAACAATTTGGATGGACAGGAAGAAACAAACTCTGATCTTAACTCAGAGCAAGAGGTGGTCAGATCTCAGCAGTGGTAATGCCATCAGTTCAGACCATAAGCTGAAAAAGGGTGTCTATAGCTAATTGATACCCATCTATGAAAATCTGTTGAGATGTCAGCCAACAGGTCAATTGTTTATATATTGCAGCACATTTTATGGACTAAGACATTTGGAGGTGAACTACTGCCCTCTATGAGATACAGAATGTTTCAAAATCTCATCTATAGCTGCTTTAACTCAGAATTATCTTTGGTATTGTAGACAAAGCTGCATAGAGTAAGTTTGTAGGCAACATTCCAGGAAGCAAAGGCTGGACCTAACTGAATTGCTTAGTGAAAAAAGGATTCTACAGAAACATGTGAGATTACTTGATGTGCTACTGTAGCACGCTGAATAGATTTTGGCTTTGAATGTACCAAGTAGTCAAGACAACTACTCCAGTAATAGACTTAGCATTATTAAGAACAGTATAATTTAAATAAAGTAAAGCAGATGCAGCTCTGGTCTGACAAGCACAGGAAAGGAAGATGTGCAACTATATGGATGCTTACCACATGGTAGTTTAGAGTCTGTTTACAACTGGCAGTCCTAGCATGGAGCTATGGCCCCTCCAGTAAGTCCTCATTTAGACAAACAGCTGTGCTAGGGTTTATTCCAATTCTAAAAAATCCAGACAACACACACTAATCATCAGGGTTCTTTATGAAATTAGATATCTTCCACAAAGATGAGAAAGAATATGGACGTGCATATGTGCTAGAACACATGAGCATGTGCAGCACTGAAGTTATGCACTGATACAGATGCTGTAAATCAAATTTGGAAACAGATTCCATAAAAGTGAACAACATACACCAGCAAAAAAGCTGGTAAAAGTATGTATAGAAAAATACAAATGGGCTTTCACATTCCATCACCTATTATGTACATTAATCTAACTTAAAGTACTGCTCAAAGAGTATAGTATGTTCAGAAATATTAAATGCTGAATTTTATATACTAAGTAATGATGTGGTTGTCTGTCCTTTCAGGAAATGATGACCACAGAAATTTACAGTGTAAGCACAGTTGTCCTTAGACGCTGTACAAAGCTTTCTGAGAATACTGGCTTGTGCATCTGCAGACTGCCACACTAGGATGCTGGAAAGGAATTTACTAGTGGTTGCATAGAATCTGCCCTTAAATCCTGGTTAAACCTAGAAAATGCATGTTGATTAGACTCACAAGATGATACTTTCACTGCCTATCCTTCTTCTGTCAGCTAGAATAGAGCGAGTTACTTATTTCACAGCCTTTTTGAATCATATATGCTTTTTTCTACCCACATACTTCATTTCCTAAAACACTTGGAGATCTTCATTAAAAAATTCCACAGGTCCCTGAAAGAGCATTCTCTGGCTTCACCCTGTCAGGCTCCAGTGACATAAAAAGCATTGCTCTATAAAAACATGCATTATTATTGTCAACATTATTCTGGTTTGGCATGTACGCTGATCCAAGTTACTTTTAATGGCAAAAACTCCAAAGAAAAGGATTGATATGATAAATGAAGGTCAGAGAGAGTTTAAATACACCAGAATAGGAGAGAGACTTAAAATGCAGCATTTATAAAAGAGATACTGTAGTTTAGCAGCATGAAGTATTTCTTATTGAATAATTCAAGAGAGTCTGGTTCAGAACCCTAACCTAAGTGCTAATTAGCCACAGCAATATACTTACTTCCAATAAAAATATAAAATCAGGTCTAATTAATGACCATTTCCAGTGGCAAAAGATGAAGTTCTCCAATTTATCTCTGAAAAAAGACACTAGAAGAGAAACAAAATGAAAGGGGAACTTTAAAAGGAAAAAGCATTTCAAAGGCTAGGTTCCTGTGGGCATTTTAGTGCCTAGGGCACACTGCTCTGGTTAGCCCTTGGAACTTGTCATTGCAAGAGTCAGACGATTATTTCTCTTTAGCAGAAAACTCCTCTACGCCAGTAAACATAGAATAAAAGTTGTACCTGTTCTAAACTGAGGTATGCGTACATTTGGACTGAGAAAGCAGCACACCAGAACCCATATATTATTCTTTTTTAACTAAAAAAAAGGATAAACTGAGCCTGCACAATTCTTTGAAACTGAGTTGAGAAACTCCTCCAGCAGCTGATTCCGCTATAACATGGTTTTCGCAGTTTGGTACATCACATTATTTCACAACTGGAAAGTGAGGTGATACGAGAGCTATTTATAGAGCCTAGAAAATTTGATAACACAGAGCAGAAGGTCACTAAATCACAGATAAACAGAGAGAGGTTTCTTAATGGGAGTTATAGTGTGCTCAGAAAAACTGCTTCCACTGTTTTCAGCCATACTATCTACAGTGCTCATTTGATTCAAATTACAAATCCAGCAGTAATACAGCAAATAAACCCTAGCTAATAAGCCATAAGATTTCAATTGAATGCTTCCATTAAACATACATATATAATTTATCTTTAAATTAAAAGGCACCCGACTCACGCATTTTATTTTATTGTTCTAAATATTGCAGTGACAGCAGCAGAGTCTTTTCATAATCACGCTAAAACTGTTTTATTAACTTGTGTTCTGTGCATGTTTTAAGTAATTAGGAGTACTGATCAAGGATGTAGAAGGGCAGATGTTTAATTGGCAGTGAGAATACAAGAGTGAATTCTCAGTTGTCAAGTGTCAGGCAGAAGTTCAAGAGAAATACATGCCCATAGCTAAAGTTGAGTCTCATTACTGAGTTTTAAATGCCTATTTAAGACCTCCTTGCTTAGTGAAGTACTGAAGCTTATTTATTCTTGCCTCAGAACCTTAGTTTACTTCTGATTTAGGTACACAGGAATACAAAGACAGATCTTTATAAGAAGGTAGTCTCTATTAAAAATCTGCAAGTCATGAGGATGATTTACATTTGAGAGAGTCAAGGCATTGTGTGTGTACTCAGCTGAAACTGATGTGAGCTCCTCCTTGCAATATTTCTCAGCAACAACACAACATCATAATTGTGCCAAACTAGTCTGCTTGCAAATATGCTTTTCCTTTAAAGAGACATTAGCCTTATAATTTCCAGCAACCCAATACATTTTTAAAAATTTCATTTCAGGGATGGAACTACAGATACTACGGCGATCTTCTTCCTGTATTTGCTTCTTCACATTCATATTGACACATTCTTTCTACCTTCCTTAGCATCTGTTTAAGTATTTGTATATGTTGCAATACAATATAATCAAAATAAAGTCTCTACATCCCTATTATTATCAATTTCCAGTCTCTTCATTTCCAGTATTTGAGACACGAACCTGGTGAAACCAGAAGCTGTACGGTGTCAGCGAAATTCTGTGAATCCTTATTTAGAAAGCTACCACCTTCCAAGAACAAAATGTTCTGCTGGTTATCTCTTTCGCTGCATAGAGCTCAGCAGTCTTGCATTCAGTCATCTTCACTTCTGTAAAGCGGGCTTCCACGTCTCAAAAAAAGGCTGCTATGGCTGTATGGCCTTTTGACATTGACATAATAACTGTACAAGGTATAATGCAATGGGGCCACTGGGACACAGTTTTCTTCTAACTATCAGAAAAAAATTAACGTAAAAGTCTCTGGAAAAGTTTAAGAATACAGTATTTATTTGGAAAGCGGCTGAAAACTTAGTAATTTCTCATTAGTTCTTCCTTCTGCAGCTTATTAAGAGTTTTTTTCTTTTTAACTTACCAGGCATGATAATATTGGAAAAACCTAGTTTCCTGGTTATGGATACTCCATGGGTAAACATGGATGTATACTCTCTCCTAATTTGTTCTATGTCTCCATGAAGCAACTGAAGAGAAACTGCCAGTCCTGCAAATGAAAAGAAAAACAAGGAAAAATAAGACATTCAAACAGACTATGGTCATCGCTACTTCTTAAAAACTTTATATACTTGCAAGTATTTATGCATTTCTGAGAACTCAGAAGAGGGAGTTCAATAATACATTTCCATGCAAGCAAAGGTGCAAACACAATGGTCCCTATCTATAGGAGAAATGTGGGAGTCATTACACTGCATCACTTAAGCTGACACAAAGTTATACAAGTCATTAAGTCAAAATCTGAAGAAATAAACTCTAATAAAGCAATAGGCATAATCAGTATTTTTTACTGAGGCACAGTAATTTCATAATGACTGCAATTACAACTTTTATTCAATAATCATCAGATCTAATCAATCGTGGTCTTTCCTATGTTTGCTAGAAGACACGCAAAATGCAAGGGTGTCCATATAATCATTTCCCAACATTTATTCCTCTAGAACCAAGGAAGAATAACTTCATTTGCTGTATCTGCAATATACAAATAAATTGCAAACAGTATACGTCATTACTGGGGGTTGGACTAGATGATCTTGAAAGGTCCCTTCCAATGCATTCTATAATTCTATGATTACAGCTAAGATTAACAAAAACAACATGCATGCCCTTGGTTATTTCAAATATAATCACTGAGGCAAGTGTCAGTATGATACAGCTTGTAAAGATTAATCTTCCTTGACCTTCAACATTACTACAGCATATCACGTGTCAACATACAGATCAAGGAGAAGATAAGAGCAAACTCTTCATACGGACTGAACAACTGGAGATAAACAGACAACTCAGAGGAGTCATAATTAACTTTAGATTAAGCTGAAGTAAATAGCATGTACACACAGACTGAACAAGGTCATCGGTCCTTTGGGCTTTGGAAGAAATTTCCCCTACAACCATGATGCTATTTAACCAAATAAATTTACTTGAAGTTTGACAGTTCTTAAATCAGAGATTGGAAAAATCTGTCCTTAGTACTGCCAGTCCAAGCTACTGTACTAAAGAGATCAGAGATCTAATTAGCATGACAACTTTTATCTTTTTCCTCTTACCTATACTTAACATTTTATTATTTTGGCAACTCCAGAGAACGTGATAATGTGACCAGACTTCCATTCTCTTATGAAAAACAGCTTACCTACATGTCTCCAACTGAGTACAAAACCAAATCTTACAAGTAAAAACATTCAGTGAAGTCTATTCTATTTTACAGACTGTATTTAATGCTATGGACATTAATTCTTTTGGTAATGGGAACTTGTTCTGTGGTTATCTAGTTAACTTTTAGGAAGTAGTGACAATTATTATTGGTATACACGAGAAAACAAACCACACTGTGGCCAGCTGATGGTACAGGACATTGGTAAGAAGTCATACAGGCAAAATTCAGACTTTGTTAGAGCAAGTGAAAAGTTTTTCATCGTTGGATGGGAAGAGCAAGGCTGGGTATAGCTTTCTTACAAATATGGATATTTAGCCCACCTCCAATCTTGTTTCTTTTATATTTTAAGAAATTTTTATACATACATATGTATATTCATATGCCCCTACTGCACTGTTTTGTTGGAAACTTAAAAAGCATTTGCCATTGCTCCAGATCACATCAACCATAACACTGTTAATCAGATATTGGACACTTCCTGGTGCTGAGTAAAGTTATTGTGTTTTCTAGACAAAAAGTTGAAGACCTTAAATCCAAATAGTGCTATAGTTTTCTTTGTGTAAAAATTTCACGGATTTCATTGAAGAACTTTATTTAGCTCAAAAATTAGATGTGTCAAAAAACCTCATCAATGGCAAAATAGTTTTAACTTAAGAAATAAGCTGCCTGTCAAAGATTTGAAGTACTTGCTCATGCAAGACGAGAAAGGTATTAGAGGTCTGTATTTCACAGCATTCATTGTTAGAAAATGAGGAGTCATCTTTTTATATCCAAAGGCATCAAGAAAATCTCTCAGTGAACATGCTTAAAACATGGTTTAGTCACTTTACCTGTCATTTAAATATGTCTTTGGAATATAAATGGCATGCATCCCCCAACTCTTCAAAATAAGGAGGAACATCGGATTATAGATAGCAAAGTTACTTTAAAATGTTATATGGTGTAAACAGTCG